ATATCAGCTGCAAGTAAACAATGTGAGGTCAGTGATAAAGAAAACAATTGAGTATGGAAAGTAAACCCCCCTTATTACTTCTGACAGATCATGCTGTGCTAGAAGTGAAAATATCTATGGCAGCTGCTGTATTGGTCTTTTCAAAGTTGGTAAGCTCTTGAGCCTAGTTATTAAAAGATATTTTCACTATACATTACTGGGCTGAAGGGGTTAAAAACAACAATGTCAAAGTACTCGGATGTTTTTGTGTGTCCAGGACAGTGCATGAAAAATGATATCGATTAATCTTCATGTCCTTTGACCTGAGACATCTCTACATGTCAGATGGCTGTAGCTGTGTTATGAAAGGGCAAAGGCACAACATTTTTCTGTTGAGGACAGTTTTGTCAGATGCTGACACTGTTGTTGGCAAGTCTCTAGGGTGAAATAAGGAGCTCTTCAGAGCATCTTGGCTTTTGCTAAAGGTTTGGATGTTTGCAAGCATAGAAGTGCTGAAACCACAAGTGTATTTTATGTCATGTTGGGTGACAGTGGCTTGCCAGGGAGTGAAGGATCAGATGGAAAATGCCAGTTTGCCATAGAACGGCTGGAAAGAACGTGGATAATTTTTAACATGCACAAGGAGTTGTTGTGAGTTGTATCTTCCAGAAATCCATGGGAAAGATGGAACACACAAACCAAAGGACTGAAAGTGCCATGAAGAAATATATTCTTACCCCTGGAAGAAGATACAATATGAAATACCTTTATTGCTTAAGGTTAACACAGTGATATTGAGCTGGCTTTTCCATTCCTTTTCTCACTTAAAATACAGTGTCCAAAACAACTAAAGGCTGCAACATCTTGATCGTAATTTACATGTTACAACCAACCTGTGGCTACTCTGCCTTGCACTGAGGCTAGAGGGGAGGGAATGCAGCTACTGGCCTCGGTGTGTATAGGATGACACTTGCTACAGGACGTGCCATGCTGTCACAAATAAGTCATCTTCCTGGACGGGTGTTTGCTGCCAAGTGACCTCTGTCCAGTGTTTCGGAGGAAGGAAAAGTATTATTCAGTCCTGATGAATTTTGGCTGGTGGTCAGAGCTGTATTATCACAAATGCGACTTTCAGCCTGAGCTGTGGCTATTGCCAGTCCTTGTCAATGATTACGCTCTAGTTACTAAGGCTATACTGTTGATTCTGTTCAGGCACTTCTTCAGTGTGTGTTTGCACACGCACACATAATAATAATTATGGTGATGATGGTGTCTTTCTGTGCCCTTCACATCTGGTTCTTACAAGTATTAAAGATGAAATTCTTTTTTTTTTATACTTCCTGCTGGCTGATGAGACACCATTGATTTTAATGGAAAAGACCACCAGTGGGAATTTTTGCCTCCATCTGATAATTTTCTCCTCCATCTGATAATGGAAGGAATAATCTGTTCTTTGATCTTTGGTTGGCAAACTTGGAAATCAAAAAGGAGGATGGTTGTACTGTAATAGCTTTACTCTAATGATGTGTGTGGTCAGTGGTTTCTGGGCATTTGAATAAAAGTGGGTGTGCTGTGAGGCGTGATGAAGTAGGAGCTGAAATGCAGGGAGCGTTGCTCATGGAATAATCTTGTAACTGAGAGCTCAGGGAGAAGTGCCCTATAAATCCATCTTTTGCCTGTTTTAGTTCATACTGGTGCCACCCCCGCAATTATGAAAATGTTAATGTCTAAGTTACTCAATTGGCCAGCTCCAGATGGATTAACGGATAACATGTAGATGATATTTAATCATGAAGAAAACTTTGTTCTGAACAGGATGCTGCCTTTTTTGTGTCAGATATTCGAGGTGTTTCGCCAGCCCCTGAAGCCCTGTTCTGTGTTTAGCAGGGGACCGTGAAACGATGAAATGTTAGACATCTGTCTTCACTAAGAGCCTTGGTAATGCTGCTCTTGTGAAATGCTTGTATCTCAATTAGGAAAAAAATGATCATTTGTTAAAAAGAAACAAAAAATAACAACATTAGTAGGTGTTGATGTTTCTATGTAAGACACAGTACAGGAGAGACTCTAAACCACAGGTTTTGTTTATTCTCTCTCCCCTGAACTCCTTGTTGTAATGTCTAAGCACCTTATAAATATTTATGAATGTGTCCTCAAAGGAAAATGAAATTTATATAATGGAGATGCAAAGTGGTGTTAAAGGAAGCAACTTTCCAAAGGTTCCTACACAGTTATAATGTGACAGAACTGGGACAGTAAATCAGATCATTACGTCCCATTTTGGTAAACATGCCATCATCCCATCCTTATTAGCTACTTTTGCCTTGGCTGCTTTCAGAGTAATTCACTGCTTTTCTTCATAATACAAATACTTTATTTGTAACTTCACACTTAGGCAGGCCACACATGGATTGATGACCAACGGGGGGTTGCAATTAGTGGCAGGGAAGGAAGAGAGAGAACATTAAACTCAATTTACACTCCTGTGTGTCAGCCCACTCCAGTCTTGCTCCTCAGCTGCCGGAGGTGTCCTGAGCATCACTTGGGAGTCATCTGTGCTGAGAAGCTGATGCTCTGTGTGCTGGGAGTGAGTTTGCAGCACCAAGCTCAGCAGCACTAACTGCTTGGGAAGACCCATAACAATGCTTCCTAAGTGGGATGTAGCTGCCTTTGCTTTCCTCTCTCCTCCCATTCCTCATGCCGTTGCGGCAGGGCAGCTCACGTGCTGTCAACAGCTTCGTCTTGCAGACAAACCCATAATGAAACAATTCCCTGCATTTACTGTTGTGCACTAAACGGAGGTGCTTATTTCTGTGTGCTCCAAGTGATACCGGTCTTCTCCAAACAGCGTCTGGGGGGACAAAATGTTGTGGTAGTGGCAGCATCTCTTCTGCGACTGGGGATTCAAAACTGTGTTTGGGCAGTGACAAAGTGCGTGAGCGTTTCCTCAGCGTTTAAAGGCTTTGTGCAAATCTCTTTGAAGTTGACTGAAGGACTTTTGTTACTGCAGTGGGCTTTGAATCGAACCCCAAATGCTGAGTTAATTTACAGTGTGTGTTAGTCTTTTTTTTGCTGGCTTGTGAAAATGAAATGGTGCTGAGCGAACCTTCGGAGAATATATTTAATGTGCAAATTTGCACGCTGATCTTGATCTTTTCAAAGCAATATGACTGTGGATATATGTTTAACATCCCCCTACCCCCCCCACCCCCAGTATATTGCAGACACATTCTTCTTTGGTCTTGTATGTGCTGTTTGTATGTGTTTAGTTGGCACTATGAGCTCTGAGGTTTTCTTTTAAGTTATTCCATGGTATTTAGGGAAGTCAACTCTCATCACTAATAAAATAAAATAAAGCAAAACACTGGTAGGTCTTGCCTTGTTAACTGTTCTAGCTGTCGTGTTTCCTACTGTTCCAAAAAATATAAAGCTTTATAAGATTTAACATATTCCCAGTGCAAAGCATGAATATTTATAGGCAAAGAATAAGACTTCCCATTTTGAAATGTCAATGCTATGAAACTGCTTTTTTGGCAGGCGTGATTAAGCCACACAGACTTCCAATAATGTTTTGTGAGCTTTTTCCTTAATTATGGCTTAATTTAGGTCTCTGAGTTTAACAAAACCTATGAAGCTTGCAGCAAAATATTTTTCTTGTGGAAAATCTTGTTTGCATGGAATACAAATCCTGTATTCCTTGTGGGTATGATTTTTTTTAATGCGTTTAATTGTGGAAATCCCATATTTTTTCTTTCCATTTCTTAAAGCATATGCAAAATAAAAATAGCTGATACTGTGTGTTTAATGCAGAATTTTGAAGAAATTAGTTTGGAAAATGCATGTGATTACTTTTTTTTCTCCAAACGCCTTGAGTAAAATGCACATAAGGTTGTAAGACATTAAGCAAGAGGCACAAGATTCTGTCTGAAGCAGTTACTGCTGCACGAGACAAATTAGAAGCAATTTTGCTTTCATGTAGTTGTTCTTAAATGCACCGTTCTGACAACAGCAATAAATAGAATAATCTGCATAATTGTATTTATATGCGTTGATCTGTCTTTTCTAGAAAAAATCCCTTTTCCCAGATAAAATAATCTTCCATTCAGCTGTAAGTGGAAGAAAGCCTCTTTAGCAGCTGCACAGATTTAGGGGGATGTTTCTGCACAGGCTTAAGACAGAATTTTGATATGGACCTCTCAGTGAATTTGATTTTTGTTGAACAAAATACAGTAAGGGCACTAAACCCACCTTGCTTTCCTGTGCAGACTGGATAACAGGTTATTTACTCAAGAGCTAGATGGAAAAGCACAGAGATGATGTGATTGAACTAAGGTAGATTTATTACTAGATTCTTTTAACAGCATATTTTCTTAAATTGATGTAATAAATGTCTCAGCCCTGCTCAAAGATAGAGTTTTGAAAGCTTTGAGCTATTCCTGGCTTAATACTTAAGTAGAAACAGCAGAAGTGGTGGAAAAACAGGATCATTTTGGAAAAAAAACATTCAAACAGTTTAAAATCCTCTGCTGTGATCATGCTTTTCTGACCTTCTGCAGCCTTTCGTTATCAGACTGAGAATGTCTCAGTCTCCCTTATATTAATGTTTGAAATATGATACAAATAAATCTTCTGAATAAAGTAGAAAGAAAAAAAAGCGGTTAGCATCACAGCTACCTGGGGGCCTGCTCCACTGGCACTTAGGCTTGCTAACATGAGCTTAGAGGTACAGTCATGGGCTGTAAAGCTGGGCTGTCCAGGGAAGCTGAGGAGAGTGAAATCCCTTGAAACTCAGATGCTGAACATTTTTAACATCTGGGTTTGAATGGTGAAGTCAGCATGTGACAAAGCAAATATCTGGAAAGCAGTTTGAAAACTGTTTTACTGAAGACGATGGGGAAATTGGGGAGTTTTCTGGGGGGGGGTACTTTTGTTTTCCAGATAAAGGAAAGTTCCCTAGGATGGCAGAAAGCAACTCCAGAGTCTTCTGTCTGTGTTTCACCTATCTTTGCTTTTCTTTGCAGGTTACATATTTGGGTAAGGTTTCCACAACAGGGATGCAATTTTTGTCAGGCTGCACAGAGAAACCAGTCATTGAATTATGGAAGAAGCACACGCTCGCCAGGGAGGATATTTACCCAGCTAACGCCCTTCTGGAAATTCGCCCTTTCCAAGTCTGGCTGCATCATCTGGACCTCAAAGGCGAGGCAACAGTCCACATGGATACCTTTCAGGTAGCACGTATAGCCTACTGCACTGCTGACCACAACGTCAGCCCAAATATCTTTGCTTGGGTCTATCGGGAGATCAACGATGACTTGTCCTACCAGATGGACTGCCATGCTGTAGAGTGTGAGAGCAAGCTGGAGGCCAAGAAGCTGGCCCATGCCATGATGGAGGCCTTTAAGAAGACTTTTCACAGCATGAAAAGCGATGGCCGGATCCACAGGAACAGCTCGTCAGAGGAAGTGTCTCATGAATTTGAATCTGACGATGGCTGACTGAACTCATTCACGGTTCAGTAAAGGCAGAAATGGCCTAGGGAATGAGAGCTGATAGATGAATAAGCAACAATTGAAATTGGGGAATGAAAGGACTGCCAAACACTTGTCTGACCAGCTTTTAAAATCAAAAGAGCAATTCAGTACCTACAGATATGCGTCATTAAAGTAATTATGTTACATTGAAATCTGCTGCTGTTGTAAAAGTGAGAAAAAAGCTCCCTCCCCCATCTCTCTCACCCACCCATCACTGTCCCTTTCTTGTCTCTGTAGTTCAGGTGCATACCATGAAGTAAAGTCATTCCTGTTTGTCTTATAAGACTGGTCAGACAATTTTATTAGTTGCTCCTCTGGCATTCCTAGCTGGGGGCTGATGCTGATGCATAAGAGCAAGTAGACCTGGAAAGCCCTAATGGTTCCTGAAGAATCTTTCTCCATGACGCATCACAAAAGTCCTTTGATCGTACGTAGGCTAAGACAGCCATACATAGCCTTTTAGACTAATGGCCTGGCATTCTGCAGTTAATTCACATTTCACAGATAAAAAATGAAAGAAGATGCTTGTATGTACACATTATATCATATGCTATCCTTTATTTTATTCATTGTACCTATTTTCTTAATATACCTGCTGCCACATCTTTCACCCAACACCAGTAGTTGCAGTTTCAGACTATATACTGCAGGATACCAAAAAGGGGTGGGCAGAAATACTCCGCGACGGCCAGGGGTACAGCGAGCCAGCACCCCTATCTGTGCATTTTCCAACCCTGATGTGCTCCGCAGGAGGGGGACCCGCTGGTAAGAGTTGAGGGACACTTGGGTCTGTCACTGTTTGAACTGTGACTTCTCATTAACCTCAGGTCTGAAGTGATATGAGCATGGTAGCCTCAACTCCGTGTTACTGGTCTCCGCATTGCTGGTCGAGTGGCCTTGGTGGGATGGAGCTGGTAGTGCCTCGTCGCACAGCCAGGGCTGCGTTACTGTAAAGATCAAAGGAAACGGTCCCTTAGGAGTCAGGTTTGAACATCTGTCTGGTTGAGAAGCTCATATTAAGATTCCCGTATATTTCCTTGTTCACAGATATAGAGAGTCATGCCTTTCTTAAATGCAGATGTTTAATAAAACTCAAATAAAAGGAAAAACTTGTTTCACTTGATATTTTTTAAAGCTGAGAGCAGATCAATAGTTTGCAAGTAATGCTGCTCCTTTATACAATTTTGTTCGTAATTATGGTAATGTTAGGGGCACTAGGGCACCTTACAGAAGCCTTAAAAGAAAGCTAATCAAAGCAGAGAGCTCTGTGTCTGAGTTTTGTGGGTCTATATGTTTGTATGTGAGAGTGTATGTGTGAGTCTAGTGTTAAAGCATGTAGATGGAGCATGGAGACATACTGAGCAGGGCCCACACCTCTTGAAAATACGCTTGTTGCTTTACAATGTATGTAAACTATTCTCCAGCATAAATGCATTCATACTTTAATAAAAAAAAATGTTTTGAGTTAAAGCTTGGGAGTTTTAAGCTGTCTTTCCAATGCAAACTCTGTGGTTTTGTTTTGTGTGTGGATTCTGTGTTCATTTTGTTTATTGGAATGAAAATGTTAATTTATTTCCGATTAGTGTTACATCAGTCTCTATGAGAATTACCTTTAATATTTTAAAATTATTTTCTTTTAAATATTTTAGGTATACTTTTGCTGTGAGATTTTTTTTTTTTAACTTAGCTGTGTGTGGACATGATTTATAATTTCTGCTTTGCAGGAGATGACAGAGGTACCCCCCCACACACACCTGGCCAGTTGAAATGAGCTCTGCTGAGTGGGAGTGGTATCTTGCCCTGCTTACAGAAATCAGAGTGGCTCAGGTGTGGCATTAGATGGTGGGATAGGGAATAAAACACCAGGCCGGCAGCTTCCAGAACTGTTTCTCTCTGAATCATTGCATGGTCCAGTGTTTCCAAATATGGCTCCCCACAATGCTCATTTGGAAGTGAAGGGTCATGTATGGGCTATATGCTGGTCAAAAAAACAAACAAACAAACAAACAAAAAAAAAACCCACCAAAAAAAGCCAACACCCAAACAAAAAAAAAAAAAAAAAAAAACCAAAACAAACCCCAAGTCCTGCCATGTATGTATCTGTCTTTTTGACCAAAGGCAAAATTAGGCAAAACTTCCTTCAGCTTTTAACAAATTATTTTCTTTTGCTCAGAGCTGTAATCACGTGTTAGTTTCTTTGGTGCTCTGCCACCAAAGCTGCTGTGAATCAGCATGTGAAATACCCTGTTTCATCCTCTCAGCCAGATGTCCCTGCTGACAATGGAGAGGTTTGACTGTGAGCCCCAGCTCTTAACCGAGGGCTGCTCCAGTGTGGGAGGGGGAGAAGGAAAATACCAGCCCTCCTCACACACAGGATCCGAGATGCCTCCTGCTTGCCCCACAGAGGACTATGGCAGATGATTTGGGTTTGGGATTTCCACTTCTGGAGCAAATACTAAGAAGCATGGGATGTGTTCCTGCCGTGGGGGTGGGTGTGATCCTTCTGACTGAGACAGCCTCCCCTTCTCACCAAGCAGTCCAGACCAGCCAGAGCACAGCTGGACAGAAATGTTGTCATCATTTTATTTTTAATCACGGGCTTTCCTCTAATGTGCTAGGGTCTGCTGAAAAGATCCTATCTCCCGAAGTTACCTGCAGGTGTGGGTTATGCAAAGAATACCTTTTTTGGGGGTTTTGTTGTTGTCTTTTTATTTATTTATTTAGGACAGTCTAAATTTCTGCAAATGGTGCTGACTTTATTTGGGAGCAACACACAGAAACCATAGACAGAAATGCAAAGGGTTTTTCCAATGTGCTTTTACTCTACACCCTGAAGCGGTGTCTTGCTGCTCCCCTTGTCACGCCTGTGACAGGCAGCATTGGCAAGCAAGAGCCCTGGGCTATGGTGTTACTCCCCCCTGTAGCCCACAGCCACGTGGTGTTACCGAGAACAGGAATAATCTGGGAGTGTGATTTTAAGCTGGTTTGTCTGCAGGTCGTTGTCTACAGTGATGCTCCATGCGTTGATGTTAACAGCCTTGTGGTGCACTCACTCAGTGATGGGGATGCAGGTTACTCAGTTGTGGTTTTGGACTGTTGTATTTCATGGCTTGGTGTCAGACAACTTGATGCTTTCGGGAACACAGAGCTTGTCTGTTTGCTAGTTGCCTATGTGCATTTGGAAATGTGTTCCTAGGTGCTGATTAGGGTACCCTGAACGGACCGTTATGCGAGGCGGATGGTGTGTGTGCACTGTGGTGCTGTGACCTTGCACTGATTTATGGTGGGTTGGGGAGTTCTCGCAAAGGTATTTGATGTTGTGTCATATGCAATAATTCCTCAGCACTTAGAGGCTGTGGATTACATGAGAATTTTGAATGATAAAGTACAAAGGAGAAAATTCTAGTCCTTGTGAGTAGAAAATCAGACCCTTTGAAACACGAACCAGCTATTTTCTAAGGGTTCAAACATGCAAGGGAATATGAGGGAATGTGAATTCCAGTTTGTCTTAAAAAACATGAGATTTGAAAAATAATCAGTATCATGAGTTTGGATCCTTAGATAATTTGGAATTCAGGCCAAATCCCTCTGTATTATCAATACCAAATGTGTGATGCCATTTGCATGAAGGAGAAAAGCTTTTACTTCTAAATTGCGAGCATATCAATTGTCACTGAATATCAGTTGCCAATAGATACTGGAATGAAACATCAAGTTAAACTTTTCCTTCAATTAATCTGTTGGAAAAGAAAAATCATAAAGTTTCCATCAGAAGTCACTTCCAGTTGGCTAAAGACTTTCCTTTTCAACTACAAAGAGCCCAGTTTTGGATCTCACTGCATCCCGCTGTGGGTTGACGAGTTCCTTCGGCGTCAGCCAGGAAAACACGTAAGGGATTTCTTTCTCTCTTCTGTTTGTAGGGGAGAGTAGAAAAGGGTCGAATATCTAAGTGTGTTATTAGAACTGCAGAAAAAGTAGAGAGCATTTAGGTCATTACACTTCAGCATCAATATGCACCATCACCTGTGTTTTGTCAAGGTGATTTTCATAATGTTTCTACCTACCTTAAGAAAACGAGAAAGTAAGTGTTATTCTATATAGAGTAAGTTTGCTCAGTTTTCAAGCTCTGAAGTCTAAATATCTTCTGTTCATACCTAGTCTTCTGTGGAGCTGTGGGTGAATGATTGTAGCTCAGGAGCAGTTGTGCTATGGGGAGAGCACCGCACTGCACTAGCGAGCACAGGTTGCTCGAGAATTGCTTAGATGTGGATGGGGTTTTTTGCCTGTGGGAAGAAGAAAAGCAGAGAGTCATTTCTTTCATGTTTTAAACTGAAAGGCCCCTAAGAACCTCTTAATGTTTTGTTTTATTTGAAAAAAAAAAAAAACCAACAAACCACCACCCAAAACACAACCAAACAAAAAAAAACCCTCTGCAGTTGATTCCACTCCCTAACTTTCCAGTAGCGAGTGGCTTCATTTTTACATGAAAAAGCAGTTGGACGTTGCCAATGAATTGCATTTAATTTTCCTAAAACCTGCAAATAAATGGCACGTGATTGAGAAGACTTTGATACAGAGGCAACCCCATATCAGTTTTTTAGAAAGCTACATATATATGTGGTTCTTGGAAGCTTTGAGACTTCAACATCTGTGTATTCACAGTGAATTTTATTTGAATTGTAAGGTTCCCTGTGTGTCTGTAGACACATACACGTGCATATATATGCATACACATGTACACACACACATCTTGAAACGTGATGCTTGTTAATAAATGTTTTCTGTATGATGGGCACATACTAGGTGTATGTGGGAAGGCAATCTTGCATGTTAGTGTTGAGATAAATGGTTTACTTCTTAAAAAGTTCTTTTTCTTTAGTGGGAAGTAAATTAACGTGTCTGTCTACATGCAAAATTTGATATACTGTATGCATTATTTACCATTTAGCACCAGAGCTGGCCCACTCCATGCCCAATTAGCTGCTGTAAGAATGATGTATGATTGGGCTCATTTTTCCCTGTGGTAGTGAATTATTAATTTGTGTATAATTGGGAAGTGATAGCTTAAATGTGTGGTTGTTATCCTGTAGACTAGAGTGTTCAGTCTGCCAGGAGTTTATAGTAAGAGAATATATCCTTTTGTGAAAACAGGGACATTCATTATACCTTTCTTCTAATGTAATTTTAAACAGATACAGGGTGTTTTTTAAAACGTCCTTTTTTGTTGAAGTCCATGGGCCAGATGCTCGTGTCCCTGTTGCTGCAGCCGCAGGGAGTCTGTGTGCCTGCGCCAGGGGCACGGCGTTTGCAGGAGGAGTCGCAGGGTAGCTGCAGGACGCTTTAAGAAAGTTGGGTCAGGCTGCTGGTTTGAATTTTT